CCACCCGGGACAATGCCACCCGGGACAATGCCACCCGGACAAAGCCACCCGGGACAATGCCACCCGGGACAAATCCACCCGGGACAAATCCACCCGGGACAAATCCACCCGGGACAATGCCACCCGGGACAATGCCACCCGGACAATGCCACCCGGGACAATGCCACCCGGGACAACGCCACCTGGGACAACGCCACCCGGGACAACACCACCCGGGACAAAGCCACGCTGCTTCCTGGCGTGGGGAGTGAGCGCTGCCTGTGCTCCTCTAGTGGCTCTGACTGAAGGGCGAAAGAAAACAGACGCCTGCTTTTCTTTTCAATTTTTTTTCCAGGCTGGCATGTATTAGTAGCACGTGTTAAAAGGCATAATTTTATTTCTGAGGACTCGCAGCATGGAGGCAGGAGTAACGTGAGGATATGCGTTTCTTTGGAATGGAGGAACCGGAAGAAGTAGTTTTCCTAGCACACCTGTTTCTAAACTCAAAGGTATAGCTGTAAACAAACAGATCCTACATTCTACTTGGACATTATATATGCACCTACAAACTTATCCAAGATAACCACAAACTCTTTAGGTTGAAAACCCCATATCAGACTCTCTACTCCCCAGCCAGCAGCACCCCAAAGAAGAAAGGGAGGTGGCAAGACATTAAAAGCCTAAAATAGGGAGAAAGAGGAGGCAGCGTGGCATTTTTCCTCACTGAGATCTCTGCAACCCTACTTCAAAGAATGACCAGAAGCATATTTCATAACCCTGTTTCTGATAATCTTGAAGCAGTTCTACCATTCTACACAACCCCCATCCTCAACAGATACCACCTAAAATCTTAGCTGAATGAGAAAACAATCCTCACCCAAACACCAACTAATTTATTTTTGGGTGCAGCTGTATTATAAATAACAAGACATAACAYTGCCCTGAAAAATTTAGGGATACAGAGGGAATCCTCTCTTCATTATTCACTCTGCACTTTGATCCCTCAAATCCAGCCCTGCTTGAACAGCATGCAGGGAATGCTCTACAGACAGAAGCTTTTAGTACGCTGTCCACTGCCAGCAGAATCTTGCACTGGGTTTATTCCTGGCAGAGTAACTTTTGGCTGGCTGACCTCAGCTCACGTCCCCAAGGCCCATTTTCCAATACATTTTTTGCACAGTTAGATCTTTTCTTTGGTGCTACAAAATGAGAGAAACCAATTTACTCCTCTCTGAAAGCGAGCCAGAAATGCAGAAGTGTTTTAATCTCAGGTTTGATGGAGTGCCACTGAATATGAAAGACTTTCAGTCTTTTATGCCCATATCAAGGCCCTTAGAAAAGTATTCTAAAACCATGAGAAAAAAMCGGATCACTATCTAGAGGCTAACCTGAAAGGTGAAATTTCCAAACCATCTAATGCTGACATGAGGCAGCCTCAGACTTCCAGTTTTTACACTATGCAAACAGGTAACAATGCAAATATAGGAAGGAAGTTTAGAGCAGAATTTTCGGAATGTGTCAGCCAGGAGCATTCTCCAGGTTATGATCCRTTGTTTGCATTTAATGCTCCATTGAGCATTTACCCCAAATTATTTCATTTTAGTACATCTGACATAATCTTCATGACTTATGAAACCCATTTATAATAAGAAAAACATAAGTAATTAACTTTCAGACCACATCACAAAAGACCAACTAAAAAAAAAATCCTAACACTGTAGAATTAAGGCAARTTTGCTGAATAACACGAGGTATCATTCAGTATCTTCTATTGCTTGCCATGTGTAGTTCTTGCAAACACAGCTGTGCTGATTTTATTCAGCAGCTGAGAATTCTGCAGTCCTAGGTGCTCTCAAATTTGCCTAATGCATTACTTTAAATTCRGACCTACCTGCATTGTTTTAAGCTACTTTAGCAATAACTCATGGCTGTTACAAATCCAGGAATCAAAAATCCAATCGATGACCTTTACTGTAACAAGCCTTTATTTACCAAGCCTGGAATTTTCACGCAACAGCTAAAAATGTCTTCAGTGGCCAAACTTGATACATTTATATTTCAACAGAAACCTGTAATTTCAAAAATGCTGTATTTCAGCAACATGCCCTGAGGTAATGTCTGATTACTGAGCACTGTGGTATCTTTCCCCTTTACCTTTATCTCCCACTCCCCCCTCAATTATTAGCATTTTACTTTACAAATATTTTTAAATAGCCTGCATGAATGACAGTAATCAAAATAAAATTATATATGATGGTGAAAAAGGGTTCCTATTACTTCACATTCTTGAAACACATATATTTGTTTCAGAAATATTTGGGCAGGCAAAAAAACTAATCAAAATACTCCACCCTCTCCTTGTTTTACCAGTTAATCTTTGACACGACTCTTGGACTGAGAGASGAGCAGCGAGTGCCTGTCTCAAACTTCCCCTACCAGAAGCCGTCCCACAGCCTTTACTTTTCAAAAAGTAAATGGTTGAAACTCTTGAGCCTTGCGGTACATAGCAGAGAAGATCACCTGCTATGTTTTTACTGTTGCCGCTGTTTCCCCTTACCTTGCACCGCGATCCAAACACACCGGTCTCCTCTCACATACGTGYAGCCGAAAAAAAACCCCAGCGCTCCCAGACTTGCTCTGCCGGAGCCATCTCATCTGTATTCCTCGGGATCTGACTTTCTGTGCTCCTCTTGTCCGAAACAGCTGCTATCTCGGCTAACCCACCTTCTTCTCAGATCACTCATAGTGAAAACATTCCTCACTTCCTGTCTCAAAAAACTTGCTCTGGGTATCATTCCACTGGGTAGAGAGCTGGGGGGTGGAAGAAAACACTACAACAAAATAAACCTGTGCCGGGCAGCTCTTCGGGCGGCCCCTTTCATACGACGCTGTGCCGCATGAGCGCAAATTGCTTTCTCGGGAATATTTTCAAATCGGCCGTCCCTGGGTGCCTCTGTGTGTGTGCATTTAATTTCTTTTCCTGGAGGCGTTCCCCTCGCTCTATCCATGCGGAAGGATACGCTGAAAGAATTAAAGCGAAGGCCCGTATGCTTGTAGCCCATTACCTCAGAGAGTTGGAATGCCTGGCAGGGAGAATGTCAGCAATGAACAGCTGCTTCTCTGGCTGCAGGGGCACTACAGAAATAGGGGTTACAACAAATAGCAGGCAATCCTTGCTTTTTTTAATCATATGATCGCTTATTTTAAGCCTTTCCAATTAAGGAAAATACCTTACCAAAATTCTGTTAGTCTTATTTTGATGCAGCTTGGAAATATTTTCTAGGTTTAATCCCTGTGTGCCTTACCAAATGACCTATGGACATACACTTAAGTCTTTGCAAAGTTTCAGCTGTTGGTGAGATACATAGCAAAAAAAAAAAAAAAGCAGACTAAAAGCTGATCTTCTAGCCCTTCTCTGGACTTAAAAGCTCTCGAAAGTGTCGGTAGAAATCACACCCTTAATAAGAACTGTCTTAGCAAACTTTAGATGCATATAAATTCAGGAATAGTTACAGTTTTACTAATGCAAACACCATGCGAGGGGCTGTGCTCCGGTCTCATAAGTATACGAAGAGCTCCGTGTGCTTGTGCGCGTGTGAAATCAACAACTGTTGCATGCAGTTTGGAATATTATATCTCTCCACATTGAGTGAACCAGGCAAAAGTGTATATATATATATATATATCAATCATGGAAGTACATATATCATGGAAGTATATATATCATGGAACCAGTCAGGGATGAGGAAAAAGGTGAAGTGAGTATGTGAACACTAATAACTGTAAAACCTAGAAAGTGTTTTGGTGATGTAAAGTGCACAAACATGCTACTGTCTGAGCAGGTCTAACCTGCAGGTCAACTATGCAAATAGCAAGTTGCTCACAACTAATCTCAGCTGAAATGAGTAGGTAATTTTATACTATAATGAATTTTTCTGAGTTATTTCTCCTAGACACAATCACCTTTCCCGAGATCAGAGGAGTAGCTCTTTTTTTTTCCTCCTCCTCAATACATCAGTCATAATTATGATGAGCAGTCCATAAGGAATATATAAAATATTTGTTTGGGGGATTCTTGTGTTGAGTAAAATAAACTAACCTGGAACTAACCTAAAGGGATAGCCTTTTCTAAAGGTGTCTGCTAGAGGACAGAACTGCAGTTACTTGCTGGAGACAACTGACTTACACAATGTATGAAAAATCCAAGCCATGAAAATTCAGGGTTACGAAGGGAACCCCTCCTATTCCTAAGAAATTAATATTGGAAACRAAGTCTGAATTCTCTTATCTGTCACATTTCCTATTCTAATTTTTCATCACACCTTTTTCCTGCCCGATTCCCGGCCTAGAACTTGTGTTTATTGGACTTTCCTTTCTTTCCATAGTTTGTTCTTGCTGCATTTTCCTTCTTTTCATTTGCATTAAAGACAAAACCTCCTCTTAAAAGATACAGCTAGGACATTGTCAATATGGTCCTCTGCAGCATACATCTTCTTTTGAAGTTCGTCACATTTTTATTCACAGATAATTTTTTTCCTGTTTTTTTTTTCTTTTTATAACCCCAGTTTGTATCCTAACCTTGTGTTTTTCTGCACTTTCTCCATTTTGTCCCACCTTATTTTTTTTAATCTCACCAGCTCTATATTATCTGGTTTGCTCCAACTATCAACTCTAATAAAAGGAACAGAGAGACAATGAGCATGTGATGGACTCTGATAAAGACACATCAGTGAGATGTAGAGTGATTACCTCAGGGCTCAATACCGAACTTCTGCTTCCCCCTCCAATCCCTGGTCAACACTCATGACATTCATGGTTCTTGACCTCATCTTTGCCATACTATTTACTCTGTTGTTGAAAWTTATGTGAGGAAATTAATGATATCTCACAACTGAATTTTGCTCCCCTTGTTCTATAGGTACAAAGGAAAATTTCTGTCCATTGGGTTGAATATGGCTTGCCCACAGTGGGCAAGGAAAAGGGATAAACCTATTTTTTTTCTGATTGAATCCTCCCTTCTGAGACAGGTTTTTCTGGGATTGTTTTTTCTTTTCATCTTGGTCCAAATGTGTGACTGCAGTTGAGCGTATCAGCCAATAGGTTGAAGGCTGATGCAAATATTCACCTTATTTCAATTCTGGAGAAACTGACCAGCAACAGGTCTTTGTATTGAGTAAATGGAAAACAGGAAATTGGAAGCAAACCAAACAGGAAGCAGAATCAGCCACCCTCCAGGCAGAAAAGTGGTATGCAAGTATATACTCCTTATCCTAGTGGAGAATTACCCATTTGTGATAAAAACACACAGGCAGGATAATCCGGAAACTGCTAGTTAAAGGGGCTTTCCACAGTACTGGAACAATGAAGAAGTCATGTGGAAAAATACCTTAATTTACACCATGCAAGATAGTGACTTCATGAACTGAAAATTTAGAATACCTCTAATTCTAATTGTGAAAGCTGTTCTCTAAACAAATTCAGTTTATTCATCATGTTTTTGCACTAAAGTCTTTCTGGTTTTTCATCATTCTATTTCTTATTTGCAAAAAAAAGCAAGAGATGGCTGTGTCTTTATGCATCATTATATGTTTTTGATGGCAGTAGAGAGGAGTACTAGAAAAATGACCATATGTACCATATGTTTATTACATGCTTGAAGTCTGCAATTTCATGTATGCAAGATTAATTTTGATTTACAAGGCACAGTAAAGTGTGGAACATGTTCTACTAAATAACTAATTAAGGTTACAGGACTTTCCTTTTAGAAGAAAACAGGTAGTTTTCTCACATGTAGTGCTGAACTTGAAGCAATGAGCTCCTGTTGTTATTGGCAAAGGATACTTTTTTAAAACACAGTATATATTTCTAAAGTAAATCACTTACTTATGAAATAAACTTAATTCCTATTTCTGTACTGCAATAATGATTTTTGTTGTTCCCATAATAAAGCAGTACAGCATATTTGAAATCTAAAAAAAGCAAAATGTGTATCCTAAAGGTTAAAATGGAATGGTGTGATCAAACTAATTTGTTACTGGTTCCCTCTCAATGTAACACCAATATATTATAAGTGGAGTCAGGCAAACAGCTCAGATCATTAGCAATAATTAGTCTAAGCTMTCTGTGTATGATGTTTGATTTATATTAGGAACAGTGATGCAGAAAGGGATTAATACAGCTGTTAACTACAATGCCTGGAGTTTATTTTAACCAGTGGCATTACTTGTAAAAGATCCTTTATCTGTAGGCTGGGCTTTCTATAATGTTACTACTCATTAAATCAGCTGAAGTCAATCTGGGGCATTGGTGCAAAAGATGAATGGTTTGCCTCAAACATTACTTCTGTTTTTCTTACTATTATGTTTACCTTTAGGCTTTTCTCCACATATTTATGTAGCAGTAAGAGCGGTAGGTACTTGTACTGGGTGTATGTGGCTGGTTTTGATAATGGAGAGGCTACAGGGRTGACTTCTGTGAGAAACTGCTGGACGCTTCCTCCATGTCTGATAGGGGAAATGCCAGCCCATTCCAGGATGAATCCTCCCCTGGCCAAGGCCAAGCCCACCAAGAGCACTGGTAGCGCCTSTGGGATGACATGTCTAAAAAGGGTAAAGAGTTATTGCACAGAAGCAAATTTCAGCCAGAGAGAGGAATGAAAATATGTGAGAGGAGCAGCTCTGCAGGAGCCCAGGTCAGAGCAGAAGGAGGTGGAGGAGGTGCTCCAGGCACAGCACCTGAGGTTCCCCTGCAATCTGTGGTGAAAACCATGGTGAGGCAGCTGTGCCCTGCAGCCCATGGAGGTCAGTGGGGCAGCAGAGATCCACCTGCAGCCCATGGAGGTCAGTGGGGCAGCAGAGATCCACCTGCAGCCCATGGAGGTCAGTGGGGCAGCAGAGATCCACCTGCAGCCCATGGAGGTCAGTGGGGCAGCAGAGATCCACCTGCAGCCCATGGAGGTCAGTGGGGCAGCAGAGATCCACCTGCAGCCCATGGAGGTCAGTGGGGCAGCAGAGATCCACCTGCAGCCCATGGAGGTCAGTGGGGCAGCAGAGATCCACCTGCAGCCCATGGAGGTCAGTGGGGCAGCAGAGATCCACCTGCAGCCCATGGAAGACCCCACACTGGAGCACGTGGATGCCTGGAGGCTGTGAACTAGTGGGAAGCCCGTGCTGCGACAGGCTCCTGCTGGACCCATGGCCCTGTGAAGAGACAAGCCCACGCTGGAGCAGGTGTGCTGTAGGGATTGGGGACCTGTGGGGGACCCACACTGGAGCAGCCTTTCCTGAAGGACTGACTGTACCCTGTGGAAGGGACCCATGGTGGGGCAGTTTGTGAGGAACTACAGCCCAGGAAAAGGAGTCGCACTGGAGCAGTGAGTATACAGCCTTTGTGTCAGACTGTACCTGCTGGGAGCAGGAGAGAAGGAAGCAGTGTCAGAGGTRACAGATGAATAGCTGAGTGGACCCCCCATTCCATCCCTCCATGTTGGGGGGAGACGGATAGAGAATCAGGAGTAAAGTTAAGCTCAGGAAGAAGGAATGCATATGGGGATAGTGTTTTAAGGTTTGGGTTTATTTCTCATTATCCTACTCTGATTTGATTGTTAATTAATTAAACTGATTTCTCCAAGTCAGTTTTGTCCGTGACAGTAATCAGTSAGTGATCTCTCCTGTCCTTGTCCTCAACACATGAGCCTTTTTGTTGTATTTTCTTTCTCCTGCCCTACTGAGAAAGGGAGGTCATAGAGCAGCTGTGGTGGGCACCAGCAAACTTATATAGCTACAATGTGGCATTAAAAGTTACTTGGATGTTTTGGCTATGGTTATACCATAGTATAGTTCGTTTTTAAGAGATAACTGTTTAAATCTTAAAATTGTGTCATTCTTGAGAAAGCGCGTGACTACTAAAATAACCTTGTAGTGGTTACGGCATTCACGGCCACCGCAGTTACCCACGGGGGCCATCAGGAGCACACCCCGTGGCACGCACCCCCTCGGGCGGGGATCCCACAC